CTTGGAGTCTTCAAACCAAAAAGGATCGTATAGAGCAATAGCTTGACCTGAATTATTCCATTTTATGCAAGTGCTAAGGCAGGATGACTCGGCATTTGTTTGTGCAAGGAAACAACCACCATCTGTGAAGCATAATCATAAGGTACAGACTGATAAACAACTTATTCATCCCAATAAAAACTGCCACCTGTGAACTTATCAAATTAAATCTGGAGAACATAGACACATGGACTTATCAGACCATATCAGACACCAGGCATGTGAGCTTATCAAATACACCAAACCAATGAACAGTGAAACCCCCACACTAAAAGACTTAAAAAAGAGGGACATCTAAGACTGGCACAGCACACAAGCCTGTCACTCTGTCATGAACTCCTCTGGTGTACACATCATGGCCTCTGCCCAGGAGCTCACCAGGCAAATAACTTCCATCTGTCCCCAGGCTTCAGCTCAGCACCATCAGCCTGCCTACTTTGAAACGGCCATCTGGTCTTTTGCTTTGACTGTCTAGAGATTGGTTCATAACCTGACACTTGAACCACCTACACTGACTCTTAGCACTTGTGTTGACTTTTACTTTGACTCCTTGCATTCCTCTGGCCTCTTTACTCTTTCCAATATCATTGTAACATAATACAACTCTTTGAAGTGTGATTTGAGAGTTACAGATATTATTAATTAACATTTGTATAGAACAAAAAACTTGTGACTGACATGGTCACAACTACCAAGTGAAACCAGTAGTACTTGGTGAAGAAAAAACAAGGATGTGGTTTGTTCATCTACTGATGTTGAGTAAATCCTGACACTGCGGAAAGACAAAATCTGTTAATAGCACAGCTTGCACACAGTCATGATCAAGATTTTCAAGAATAAGGTGCGAGACATGGCTACAGATTGAAAGTGAGGCACAGGGTACCCAAATGCCACAAGGTCATGCCACCTCTTCCTGTGAGCTCAGCCACACCCATAACTCCTGGCTCCCACAATTCAGCCAACGGTGTGTTAGTATCTCTGCTTTAGCTCTGGGAGCCCTCAGGCAAGACAGTGAGCAGGTCCAGACTCCCCACGGTCCTTTGAACAGTGTTGCCTCTCGAATACACACACACACACACACCACACACACACACACACACACACTCCCCCAACCCAGGGAGACACAACCAGGCAAGGGAAAGGCCTAGAGGCTCTCAGGTGAAGCCTCTTCTCCAAGACTCCAGGATCTTGTCTATTTGAACCTCTACCTTCCTGTCAAACACTCCCTGTGGCCCTCACAGGATGGTCTCAGGTGGCTCAGAAGACCATCAATGTCCTGGGATGCCCTTTGATGACTTATGTAGTAAGTGGTTTCAAGGGACAATAGTAAAAGGATGTGGTAACTTAGAGTCACTCCATAAGAGCTTTTGAGAAAAATGAGCAAGTCCTTTTAGCTTATTACCAAGGATAGAAGAGGAAAAATCCCCTCTCCCTCCTCAGGAAGCCAGAGCCCAGCCCAGCAGCACAGGCATCTCCATTCATTTGCCTGCTGCTCTAGGAAGAAAAAAGAAAGGAGGGAAAAAGAAAGGAGGCCCTCCTTTCTAGAGAAGGCAACCAGATCACAAAGCAGCACTGACATTCTAATAGTTATTTTTCCTACACGTTTTCACTGACTCCTCTAAGCCTGAGAGTTTCTTCTCTCCCATTTCCTAAGGTTCATACATGCGCACCAGCACACACATACATATAGCCATGCACACATAGCTCCCATGCACACATGAACAAACATACACAGCAGCACATGTGTACACATACATGTGTACGCAGCAGTATACATGCACATGTGCACAGACTAACACATGTGTGTACAAAGACATGTTTACACACAGATGCACACCAGCAACATGTGCATGTGCACACACACACACACACACACACACTTAGGATTTTCTTGTGGCTGGGGAGAAATTTACTACTGGGTTTTTACTCTGGATCTGCCCTGTTGATGACCTCTTGCCGTGGACCAGCTTCCTGCAGCCCATCAGTAAGAAGAAATATGGAACCATTATCACACCATTAACTGAGAGCTAATGGGCCAAGTTCATCACCCCTTTTTTACTGATGCGAAGTAACCACACAAACCTGCTCCATCCAGCTGACTCATGGGCAGGGCTACAAATCAGCCTCACTGGAAGAGGGA